AACCACAACGGTGGGCATTTTGTCTGTTAATTGCAGAACACACAGCCTCTCAGCAAACTGAGTGGCTGTCCAGTTGGCCAGTGCACCCTTTCCAAGAGTTGGGAACATTAGTATGGAGCACAAGAAAGGTCTTTCATAGTAAGGACACGTACAAAACAAGAGGTGAATGATGATGATCATCATCATTAGGAGACAAAAATGAGAAGAACATCTTCTTCTGCTGGGTAAGGGTGGAAACTGGGCTGAGAGCCCACCTCTGCCATGTTGAAAAAAACAAAATGGAAGAAGAACACATCCTGATCCCACAACAAATTCACCTGTGGTGCAGCCAGGACAGTTGATTTGCTTTGTACTCACTCCACTCAACATTTTCTAGGGAAGGAGGATCAGATTTCTCTCTGCTGTTCTAGTGGAGGTCTTGGAGGCTCTTGCCCTGAGGGTTTTAAGGTCAATGGAGAGGCCTCATCCTCTGAGTCCTCTAAGGGTGCATCTACTTTTGCATGACAGTATTCAGGCAGTGGCTCACAGGCACTGTGAGATCAATAGACAGACAGAAGCCCTTCTCTGGTAGCTCCATAAAATGCAAAGTCCTATCTTATCACACGTTTTTGCTTCTCAAGCTCAAAGACATTGTGTTTTACACTGCTGAGCTTCATATCTTCCTTTTGCTCTTGGTCATCCAACTCTCTTTTTATAACACCTGTAACTTACTTACTGTATCAGCTTACTGTTGATACCCCCTCAGCTCTGCCTCGTTCACACATCTCAATGTTTCTCTTCTACTTTTTTTGGGTCATTCACAGAAGCATAAAACAAGACAGGCCCTGAGGCAGACATCTGTAGCTTCAGGGAAAACCTTCCCTTCTGCCTGACAGTTCCCCTTGCAACAGCAGCCACGGCCACCTGACAAGCAGCCAGTCCAGACCCACCTTCATCCCATCCTCCAAACACATACAGATCATTTCATTCTTCAAAATCCATTGGAGATCTTGCAGCCTTCCCTGAAGGAGAACAGTTTGGCTCCTTCATTGCAGTCCAACCTTCCACAGCAAGGACAGACATCCTCTGCAGAAGAAAGGCTCTGGTGGGGATGTCAGAGATGTCTAGGCCAGGCTGGATGGGGCACTGAGCAACCTCGTCTAGTGGGAGGTGTCCCTGCCCACGGCAGGGGGATTGTACTAGATGATCGTTAAGGTCCCTTCCAGCCCAAACCATTCTGAGATTCTAGGAGAGGAAATCTTCTAGCTATGGAATTTCTCTCTGAAAACAACCCAAGGCACACACACAGTAGGCTTGGGCTGTTTGTTGCTACAGCACCCAGCTCGTACAGCACAGAGAAATCCCATAAGACCCTTGCCAGGAAAGAGCATAACACAACTCCCTATAACAGCCCACCTGGGCTGGACACCACCCAGCTGCCAAAACCACCTCCCTCGGGCCATCCAGTCATTAGGCTGATTATAATTACCTGCCAAGTTAATTGAACCCTTTTCCTAGGGAGAAGGAACTCAGAGATGCTGAGCACATCTGGGAAGCTACTGGCAAATAGAGGGATATTTTTATAAGCTGTACTCAGTGCCTTAAATCAAGAGAGCAGAGCAAAAAGCTGCGGTGTATATCTAAAACATGCTGCTCTTGCTCCTCATGAGCACAATTCACTTGGCAGACAGGAAAACCACAGCTTTGCCTTTGAGCTCTGCAAGGGCTGTAGCTTCAAGGGGGACATGATTTCAAGGGTGTCACATTGGTTTGCTTGCTCAGAGTTTAAGCCTGGCTTTGCCTATAAGAGAGAAGCACAGAAAAATGATATGTTCTTTAGCAACAGCACAAAAAAAAATTCACCTTGAAGATAGAAAGGCCCCTGCTCTCCATTCTTAGGCATGGCATATGCTTCAGGAAGCCATAATTTGGTCTTTCTACCCTAAAATCATTGCCAGCTTTGCCCTGGAAAACAATCCCAGTGTATTTGTAATTGAAAGATGTTGGCTGGAGGGTGAAAACAAGCTGGTAATGAAAGTTTTCACTTTCAAATGCTACAGCTTTGCTATTTGGAAACTTTCTCCATTTCATGTTCTCCTTTCCAGCCAATTCACATTTTTGTTTCAATCTTTACAGGCCCAGCCAGGCACTTGTGTGTGGAGCTGTTGTTAGTGTGTCATGGATAGCAACACATACCTAAGGGAAGGAGTCAACATTTGCTGGAAACGGGCCTGGCTGAACTCCCTTTCCCCCTCCCTCATCCAAATGGCCCCCAGCTTTGGAAAAGTTTGCCTCCAACTCTGAACTCGCTTGGCCTCAACTGCTATAAATAGTCGGAACAAAACCTCCCGGGCCAAATGCCCCAAGTGTTTAGAAAGCTTTGATCCTGTGCTGCTTTTGAGAGCTTGAGCCTTTTCAGCTCGTGCAGCTGGAGCCCATATTGCTGCTCAGAGCAGGGGCAGGGAGAGCTGGACCCCAGGCTGGGAAGGGGTGTGTGTCAAGCCCTGTGTACACCCCATGTGCAGACCCTCCTGACTCTCCCATGGTAATCCAGCATCAGTGCAAGAGCAGAGGACAGGGTGTAAGGATTGGAGCCATGATACTGGCCTCGAGTCCAAGAATCTTCCATTACCTTCCAAGAAGGCTGCAGAAGGACTCTGGACAAGGGCATGGAGTGACAGGACATGGGGGAATGGCTTTTAACTGACAGAGAACAGAGTTAGATTAGACATTAGGAAGAAAATCTTCCCTGAGAGGGTGGTGAGGCACTGGCACAGGTTGCTCAGAGAAGCTGTTGCTGCTCCATTCCTGGAAGTTTTCAGAGCCAGGTTGGACAGGGCTTGGAGTAATGTGGTCTAGTGGAAGGTGTCCCTGCCTATGGCAGGGATTGAACTAAGTGATCTTTAAGGTCCCTTCCAACCCAAACTATTCTATGATTCTATAAATGCCTTTGAGGAGAGCCATCCCTTGGCTGGTGCTGGTAAGCAAACCCTCCTCCTCCTCCTCACTCCTGTCACCGTGTGTGCTTTCTGTCTCTGTTGTCCTGCGGGTTGAGGGCACTTTGCCTCTCCATCCCTCCCTCTGGCTGTGCCTGGTCCTTGTGCCTTGGCACTGCTCGCCTTGGCCAGAGACAGAAGTGGAAAGGCACAAACATCAGGGGGAAAAAACCAAAAACCAAAACAAAACAGAAAAAGGGCTGCTCTTGCAGTATTTCCAACCCATCAAGCCCAGAGTGGGAATCCTGTGAGAAAGACAGCTCTCACAAAACCCCAGGCCAAGAGGTTTGGATAAGCAGTCCCAGGGTTTGCATCCTCCCTGCCACCAAGATCACAAGGGTTTTGGAAGAACACAGCTTGGGCACTTGCAGGGGTGCTCAGCAGCTACCAACCAGCAGCCAGAGCAGGTACCAGACACTGCTCCTCAGGGCAGCACCTGCCTTTCCTACCTCTGCATTTCCAAGGGGTTAACGTGTATGTGACTCAGAGTCCCCAGATCCCAGCCAGGAAAACAGCTTTCTGCCCAGATGGCTTTTCCCCTGCCACAGCTCTTCCTTTTGGGAGCAGAAGTTGGCAGTGCCATTGCACACAGCAGCACAAGGAGCGTGGCAGGGCTGGGGTGGGGCAGCTCAGGATAACTCACCAGCCTGGACTAGAGGGGACCTCACTGCCCACCATGGCTGGCAGAACAGACAACCAGGACAGAGGTGCAGCACCAAACCATCCTCCCTTGGTGTTCTTTTAGCAGCAGTAGTGTTTTGCTACATCCTTGCACTTGGCCAATGCTTTTCCCCAACCAAGCGATTCGTTACAGGACACTTTGTTCCAAAGCAAATCCCACTCAAAAGTCTCGAAGTGTTCCGAACCCCAGCCGCAATCGTTTGCCCCTCTGCCTTCTCACCTTACCCTGCAACAGGCTGGTGGTGGTGAAATTGTGGTTCTGTGGAAATTTAGGGGAGCTGGCATGAGTTCAGGTTGATGTGTCTCTGAGGAGCCAGCTTAGCTAATACTGCGTTGGGAAAGGGCTGAGGTCAGCCCCATCGCCCTCTGTCACTGTCAGGGTTCTAGTATGGGGGCAAGACAGCCTGGAAATTATTCCTTAAGAGAAGTGATAAATAAATCAGCCCAGTTTTGGAACCCTCAGATAGAGTCCATTGCAGAGGAACAGAGTTTGACCCCCTCCTTGTCCCGCTGCATCCCATGGTGGGCCAGACAGGGCTTGATCCTGCTGCCCGGGAGTCTGCCTTGTGGGGCAGCTGGGCAGGTGACACCCAGCCCAAACAGTGGCCACACAGTGTCTAGCCTGGTGTCACTTCTGGAGAGCCCATCCTGGGCTCTCCAAGGTCATGGGACTTGCTGCCTGAGTCCTGTCAGAGAGCTTTGCCTCCTTTTTCCTGCTCACCGATGCCAGGGGGCAACCCTCACCCAGCCACAAAAACGGCTGCAGCACCCAGGAACCCCCCTGGGTGGGCTCCCTTAATCTCCTGCATTCCAGGCCATGTCACCCTGGAAGGGGTGGCTGCTCCCCAGGCAGCAGACGGGGGGGACAGGCTGTCCCCCGGGGGGTTTGGCAGCACACTGCCTCCGAGGCGAGGGCTGGCTCGGGGCTTTGTTTTATGTCCTGTTTATCCTGCCGAGAGAAACAGAGGAGTTCAGTGTGCAGGAATCTCGCGTCCTTGCCCCGCTCCCCCGCCGCATGAAAGCTGCTGAGCAAACAGGAGAAAATCAAAGGCGATTGCGCCCCGCTGGGTTTCCGCACCGCCGGCCCCGCTGCCAGCTCTTACATAAGCCCTCGGCTCGGCCCGGTGCTGCGCTCGGGGCTTTTTTTCTTGTAAACCAAGCAGCTGCCCCAGCACAGCCCCTCCGGGACCCTGAAGTTCTGCCACCCCCTCTGCCAGTCGGTGAACAGCTCTCTCCTGCCTCCTCTTGCCAGCCTGCTGGTTTGTTTTTTTTTTTTATCCTTGTCAAATAAGATGTAAGACCTGGGCAGCCTCTCCATACGCAGCCGTGCTACATTCAGCAGTTTGTTGGCATTGCAGGACATGGGCGGTGGGTGACAGCCAAGCCAGGATGTCCCCACAGTCCCCAGACTCAGCAGAACACCACGAGCTGCCACCATTGAACGTCTTCAAACTGAAAAAGAGTAGGTTTAGATTAGACAGACAGAAAAAATTCTTCCCTTTGAGGGTGGTGAGGCCCTGGCACAGGCTGCCCAGAGAAGCTGTGGCTGTCCCTTCTCTGGAATTGTCCAAGGCCAGCTTGGATGGGGCTTGGAGCAACTTGGTCTAGTGGAAGGTATCCCTGCCTATGGCAAGGAAACTAGATGGGCTTTCATGTCCCTTCCAACCCAAACCATTCTGGGATTCCATAATTGATCTCATCACACCCCTTTCAAGGCTGAGCACTGGGTCATATCACCTGCTGGGGAAAGGAGATGCTTTGGCCCAAATATCAGCTCCATAACATGAAACCTCACCTCCCTCTGCTTTGCTCCCAGAGCATCACAGGTTTGTCACCACTGGCACAGGTGTGTGTCTTCTCCACCAAGCACAGCCTGAAGCACCAGGACAAACTGTCCCTGCTTTCTTGTCTTGATCCTGTGATCTTTGGCTGTCGAGCAGTCCCCAGGCATTAAGGGTGTCCCCAGACATGTGCCCTGCATGGCTTATGAGGATTCATTTCCCCAGCTCTCCTGGGCATGCTCTCAAGGCTCCTTCCCCCCAAACCATTCCCCCAGCCCTGTGGGGCACCCCAGGAGCAGCTCCTCAGACCATCCTGGACCTGCCATCCATCACTCTCCAGCAACATGCTATCATCCTCTACCATGCAAAAGTGTTCTTACTTCCTACATCTTTTAACTGTTTAATATTTTCTAATTAAAAGCAATTTTAAAAAGTCCAAAAAAAAATAATTTCCTGAGTTTCACCACCATTTAAACCTAACAGCACAGCAGTCCTGTTTACCTGCATGCTCCCCGAGCCCCCAGTAGGGAACTCCTCACTTTCCTGCATGCACAACAGCAGAGGAATTAAATCAAATTAACTCACACTTGGAGCTGTGGCAGGATTGGGCAAATCCTGGCTTGGCTATCTCACTTTAGACTACATCTTGCAAACAGAAGGGCTGGAAACAATTTTGCTTTAATTGCTTTTTAAAATGCAGCCAGCAGATGGTTTGGTAACCTGAATTCATGACTCTTTCCACAGCTCCAGGCTGCTGGCTGGGAAACCAAACCCAAGAACAAGCCAGGTAGTGAGGGATCCATCCTGCCTGTTTTACTGAAGTGCTGGTCATGATGCCCAAGACAGGGCTGTCTGGGCTGGCCAAGAGGGACAATTTGCAAGTGCACCACAGCCAGTGGCATCAGGGCCACCATGCTCAGAAGCACCCTGATAAGCCTGGAGAGCCCATGAGTATATAACATGGTCCACAGTTTCCCTGGAGAGTATGGCATGGTCTCTCTGTGGCACAGGGGACAGGCCCTGGCCACATGTCCTTTGACCCCGGGGGCTCTTCCCATGAACCCGTGCCCAAGAGCATCCTAACTGCTCCTGAAAGGTTCATGAATCAGGCAGGCAGAGTCCTTTTCTTTTTGGCTCTTGCTCTGACCCACTGTGTGACTTCCCACTAGTACCTTCACCTCTCCGTGGCAGTCACAGGATTTCTGGGCCAGTGACCATGATGTCTCCATGCCTGTCAAACTGGGAACAGGGACTGCCAGGGCTACACACCAGTTGCAGACCTGTGCACTACAGCAGGGTTTGAACACACCCAGGCTGACCCTCCTGACCCGAGTGGTTTATCCTTCACGGGCTAGTCCCCACCTCTGCAGGAACACCCAGGTGTTCCACATCCCACAGTACCCAGCCACAGGGCTCTGCCCCAAAACCAGCCAGAGAGGAACTAAGTCCATCCCGAGAACCTTGCAAACGTCTCGTGAAGCCGGCTTGTTTTTCTCTTACCAAGTAATTTGAAATTCTTGGAAGGCAATCAGGAAAGTACAAAGTATTCCAGCTCAGGACAGCCTGGGACTCATTCCTTAGAGGCACAATGGTTGTTTACTCAATCACTCATACATTAATATCTACAAATTCATGAGTTCAATTGTAAACAAGAAGTACTGGCTTTACAGTGGTGTCTATTTAACAATAGTGGTTCCAGCTTGAATGCTGATTTTGTTGTTATGGTTCTTCTAATCTGGCTATCAGAGGGTCGAGATCTTGCAAAATTATGGGAAATATTTCAAGCCCATTTATTTCTGGTTTTGAAATGCATCCCTCTGAAACCCAAGGCCAAAGAAAGACTATTTCAAATCAACATCGAAGAGCACAGGCAGGGAGAAGAGCTGTTTGTGCCAGCACTGTCCTCTGGCTAAAGAATAAATGAGGGAAAATGTCGGCCGTGGATATGTTTGTGCTGGAAATCTGTAGAAGATTGAGAGGGAAGGTTCCCAAGACAGTCTCCTAAGGGGACCAACAGAACAAAAAATATCCCAAACCAACCATTTTCCAAGACAAAGAACAATTGGCTTCTGGAAGCACTTGTACTAGTGGGTTGCGTATGAGCAGGTCTCATCTGCACTCATCAGCTCAAGGACTGTAAGCCCAAAAGTCCAGGACTCTTCACAACACTCCATCTGTGGAAAGCCTCTGAAACTTCATCCCAAGAGAAACCTGGCAAGACCAGCTCCCTCTCCCAGAAGGATCTGTGGGGGACGAGTATCCTCAGTCAGTTTGCAGACACCATCAAGTTGCGGGGGAGTGTTGACGTGCAGGGGTGTAGGAAGGCTCTGCAGAGGGATCAGGATAGACTGGATCAATGGGTAAAGGCTGCTGGTATGAGATTCAACAAGGCCAAGTGCTGGATCTTGCACTTGGGTCCCAACAACCCCCAGCAGCGCTACAGGCTTGGGGTAGAGTGGCTGGAAAGTTGCCTGGTGAGACCAGGACCAGGGGGTGCTGGTTGACAGTGGCTGAACAAGATCCAGCACGTGCTTAGGTGACCAAAAAGGCCAATTTAACCTGGCCTGGATCAGCAATAGTGTGGCCAGCAGGACCACGGCAGCGACTGTCCCCCTGTTCTGGGCACTTCTGAGGCAACTCAAATCCTGTGTCCTGTTCTGGGCACCTCACTACAAGAAGGACATTGAGGTGCTGGAGTGTATCTAGAGAGGGGCAACTGAGCTGGGAGAGGGTCTGGAGGACAAGTCCTATGAGGAACAGCTGAGGGAGCTAGGGGGACTCATCTTGGAGAAAAGGAGGCTCAGGAGGGACCTTCTCACTCTCTACAACTCCCTGAAAGGAGGTTGTAGCCAAGTGGGGGATTAGTCTCTTCTAAGTAATAAGGAATAGGACAAGAAGAAATAGCCTCAAGCTGCACCAAGGGAAGTTTAGGGTGAGTATTGGGAAAAATTTCTTCATCAAAAGAGTTGTCAGGGATTAAAACAGGCTGCCCAGGGAAGTGGTGGCATCACCATCCCCGGAGGTATTTAAAAGACGTGTAGATGTGGCACCTGGGCACATGGTTTAGTGGTGGCCTTGGCAGTGCTGGGTTAACGGTTGGACCTGACAATCTTAAAGGTCTTTTCCATCTGAAATGATTCTGTGATTCCATCTGCAGGATCAACATGGTCCAGAGCTCATTGGAGCTTACCTTTCCTTCCCTGTTTACTGACTGGCACTGCCACAGGCCCTTCATATGTCAGGTCTGTGCAGCCTCAAGCTCCCCAGCTGGTCCTTCCTACAGACATCTCTCCCTTTTGGGTCTGATGCTTTGCCACAGGGAGTGAGCTGATACCCTGGCTGTGGGCTCCAGGAGGTTCACCAGGACATTCATGGCTAGGCTGGCATCACTTCCCAGCTCCTGTACAGTCCTACATGCACACGCTGCTGTTTCAGGCATTATCATGCCAGGGAAGATGGTTTTAGCTCAGCCTTCTCACCTCTTCTGAGCAACAGTGACTTGTTTAGGTAGCCTAAGCAGGATGAAATCCACCCTCCTGCTTGCAGAGTCAGAGCAGATCAGTCAGCTTCATCCCAGTGCTTTCTCACACTTAGGCAGAGCTCAGACACCTCCACACAAGCCCTTGCTCTAAGTGGGTGAGGAGAGACAAGTCAGAGAGCACTTTCCTGGATGATTAGGGCTTGTGTGAATCCCCAATGGGTTGTTCTGGGGACAGAGCCTCAGGAGCAGCAGACTGCAGGCTAATCTCAAGAAAACCACTCAGGAAGAGGAGGGAGGTTTCCTGAACAGGAGGTTCATGTATTTTTATCTTTGCTGCTGTCAAAGGGCAATAGCTGAGATTGCAGTGTCTTGGAAAGCCTCCATGAAAGCTATCTCCCGAGGACATCAACAAATCTGGAAAACCACCTTCACTCTCTTGATAAAGGTTTCAGCCAACAACTGCACTCCAAGGCACGTTTCCAGGCAGCAGTCACTTCTACTGGCTAGAAATGCATCAGCCTATGTTTCAGCGAAACCTTTGGCTTGCTCAACCCACAGGTACGTCCTGGAGGTGCACAAGCCTGCTCTCCTGTTGGAGTTCACACTGCTCCAGCTGTGACTTCTGCCTTGCAGGAACCAGCCAGACAGGTGGAGGTTAGAGGGTGGTCACCCAAGTGCTGACAACTCACTATCCAAGGGCAAGAGCTCTCAAAGAAGCCCTGATTTAAACCAGTGAAGAAATCCAAGAGGAAACACTCCAGTATTCAATCACTTTCCCTTCTTGCCCCATCAAAGACAGCAGGACATGCTGACATCCAAGAAAACCCACGAGCCTTTGATCTTTACTGCTGCCTCTGCAGCCAGAGACCCGCACTGAGGAAAAGTCACTACTGCATAAAACCTGCTGTGCTACAGCAATGCAAGAGGGAGCATCTGGCTCCCTGTTCACTCCACTAAGCAGCTACTTCCACAGGCGTCATGGGAACGTCCACTCTGGGACATTTATCTCTATGTTTGCACACAAATACTCTCCTTGGAGGAGCCCAAAACCTGTCCAAACAGCCCACCTCACCAAGGAGGAAACCATCTGCACCAAACCAGCTCAGACCACGCTGATGCCACTCAGGTTGGTAAATATCTGTTAAATAGCCACCTATAAATATAAATATCCACCTCAGGCTACGGGGGGAAAGGCTCCTTCTGATCCTGCATGGGCTGGGGGTACTATCTTGCAGATTGGGCAGGGTGGGAGCTCCTCCCTGACCACCTGCAGGGACTACAGTGGAGCACAAAGCCTTTATGGCTTTGCCTGCCCAGATCCCCAGCTCTCGCCCATCCTGCCTGTCAGCCAGTCCACCCCAGAAGGCAGCTCCCTGTTTGTCTTGGATGACCTCCTGCCAGACCAGAGCTTCCCACAGCACAGCTCTTCTGTGCTACCCGGGAGTGGATTTCCTGCCGTTTGATCTAAATTTTCCCATCGTTTCACCAAGTGCCTCCTGATTTCCTTCATCAGAACCAATCTTTCCATCAGGGAGGCGGCCCTGCAGCCCGGGGCTCTTTGGCAGGGAGCTGGGGGAGAGGTTTGGTGGTCAGCGAGTAAACACTGCTGGTTCATGGCTGGAGCTGGAACAGTGGAAAGGACCTTCCCTCCTTTCCCAGGTGGATCAAGCATGAACATGCAGTGCCCTCTGCTGATCTGGCCACTGAGGGAGATGCTGGAAGGAGCAGCATCCAGGGCTCAGCAGCTTTGCAACCCTCCGAAGGGGCAGCCAAGCCTCCAGCCTCCCTGCAGGCAAGAGAGGGACAGCACATTCCTCTCTGCTGATGATCTGCCATTTATCACAGCTCTTGAGCAGGTGTTTGAGAAGCTGAGCTGGTAGGAGAGGCCCAGGTGGGTTCCATCAGCTAACTCTACACCTGAAGGGTATAACTACACCTAAAGAAGCCAGGACATCTAGGGCAGGTTGCCCAGAGAAGCTGTGAATGTCCCATCCCTGAAGGTGTTCCAGGCCAGATTGGATGGGGCTTGGAGCAACCTGGTCTAGTAGGTTGGGGTCAGGGGTTGAAACTAGATGACCTTTAAGGTCCCTTCCAACCCAAACCAGTCTAGGATTCTATGATCTTCCCTACTCTCTGCAGTGCCACTCACTATGCTGAGCAATGCTGTCCTCCCCCAAGCAATGGGGAGGGGGGACAGCCTGGCAAGATGGGCACAGCATTAAGGGACAAGGAGCCACTGTGGGAGACAAAATAATGCTCCCTTTCCCCTTGACCTGAGGCTCCCTCTCCCAAAAGAAATGGGCTGCTTCATCTTGAAAAAGTGGAGGGAAGCAGACACATGGGGTGGACAGGCTGGTGATCCAAACTGTCCCAGGGAGTGGAAAACTCTTTCCAGGAATTGTACAAATCAGGTGTGAAATGGAGACATCACCCATACCAGGACCTCAGTGAGTTACTGCTCTTGCTACAGAAGCCTTCGTGGGAACACAAAGACAGAAATTATTTAACCAAAGGCCCAGAAATGTCCCTGGCAATGTTCCTGTTTGCAGGACTGGAGGCAAGGCTAGTTGTAGCCCAGCATCATTAGCTGCAAGTCCAGTATCAGTGGATTTAGCAGCTGCAAGGAGTGTTAGGTCTGCAAGTGCCTCTGCCCAACTCTTCTGAGCCAGCCAGGAGAACTGCAGAGTGAAGGCAGCTCCAAACTTGGGAAGAAAGAACATCCAGAGCCCCTGGATCCCCACCATTGCATCAAAGCAAACCTGCAGTTGCTCCTGAAGCTGCATCCAGCCATGGGCTGGCAGGACACCCACAGCTCAAAGCAGCTCACACTGGAAGGAACCACTTTGTTTTTCTTTTCCTCCCTCCTGCTAAAACCCTCCCCAGTTCACTTGAGAGTGAAAAACTTTGAGTGACGTTTAAAGACCTCAATACAGGCAGCAAAGTCCATTCCTGGTTAATAAGATTCTCTTTAGGAGATAAGTCTAATTTGCATCTAGGGAGTGATAGGGGTTTATAACTGCTGGGAGCAACCTGAGCCCCAGCAGGTTTACGTGGCACAAGCAATCTCCAGCCTGATAGTCATCTCCTGGACTGAAATCAGCTCTTTCCCCTGACTGCAAAGACTGCACATTCCTTATCTCCACTGCCAGGGAAGGTCCCTGCTAAGATGCAGTGCATTCAAGTTTTGATGGCATTCCCCTCGCCACTAATTTTTCCAGGACTTCTAGGTGATCAGGACACAAAGCAAGTGAAAAAGGATCTGGCTCAGTTTGTACTGGATTCCAAGGCAGGGTTTCCTTCCTCCTTGTTTCTAGCCATGGCTCTTCAAGCACTGCCAGTCCCCCCCTTCTCCGGGTACCCACATCCCCTCTCTGCTGTCGGTCTCCACTTGTTACAAACCACACTTGACATCCCCTGGGACAGAGGGGACCTCTGCACCTTCATACTGTGCCTCTGTCTCCTTGGAGCTCCTCCAGCTGAGACAAGTGACTCAGCTTAGAGCTGATGCGTGAAGTCAAGTCTCTCCTGGAAACCAAAGCATAATTCCAGAGGGGAGGAGCACATGAAACCACACACAGCATCAACACAGACGCCAGACTGCAAACCTCAGTGGCTCTCTCGGGACCTCTTGTCCAGTCTGACTTCTTTCTCATGAGCACTGTTTGTGATGTTTCATGGATGTATCAGCCCAAGACACTCCTCCTTCCCCCAAAACACAGCTGCCCTGCAGCAGAGCCCGTCTGCTGTCTAACTGATGACAACAGTCAGAAATTATATGCTTTAGGTAAAGGTAAAAAGAATACAGGGCCACACAAATTCTTCTGAGGAAGAAATTAAGCTCAGGCCACACAGACCTGATGCCTTCTGGCACAGAGCCTAAATTTTCCTAAGGAGCATCCCAAGCCCAGCGCCTTCCAATGTACTCACATCCTTTAGCACAGAGCCAGGGATACAGCTGAGAGTTGGTGAGAAGGGCACCACGAGGACACAGTGTGGTGTCCATGACCCACGTACTCTTTTGCTAACCCACCTCTAGCCCACGTGTGCTGAGAATGCACAGCCAGTGTCTCTCTAACTGCACCTCATCAGGAGATACCTGGCTGGGATGATAGGCTCCCCTCTGCACACTGTACCTTTGTGTTATCTCACATCCACTCTAAAGTGCTGACAGAAGAAATGCTGAATCAGGAGTGCTCAGATGGAAGAAATTAATTTGGTTTTTAGCACCAGTATGGCCCTATACTGATTTGAGGCGTTGCTGCTTGGGGAGCAGAGGATGTGAGATTCAGTGCCTGGCGCCCTGAGGAACAGCTTTTTTCCAAACCACAATGAAATGTCCTGGATTTGGGAAATGGGGAGGCCAAGGGGACCCACAGTACCCTTTTTGACAACTCAAAATTATTTCTTAGTACCTTCTGGCCTCTTGTTCACAGGCCTGTGATGAGGTGCCTTGGCTGCTGACGGCACTTGCAGTGGCAGCACTCAGAGCTCCCACCTGCACCCAGGGCCAAGGCCAGCCCTGTTTTCTGTACCACTGGTGCAGTCACCAGTAAGTTGTTACCTTGGAGAAGTCAACAAAACCCACAGCCACTCTTCAGGAGCGTGCCCCAAGCAGGCAAACAGCTCCTGTTTCCCTGAGCTCAGCAGCCCTGCCTGATAAAAAATGGGATGGAGCTGCTCGGAGAAAAGGAGAAGAGAACGTTTCCAGTGCTGGCTCTGCTCCCATCGGATAGAGAGTGCATGGCACAAAGTCCTGGAAGTATGGCTCTGGGGTGGCCCCGGGACATCACCAAGCCAGGCAACCACAGAGAACAGCCCAGCTCTCCATCCCACTGGGGCGCTGTGAGGCACAGGAGCAGTCCTTGAACTTGGGGAAGAGCTGTGGCCATCCAGGCCTCCTCCGCCTGGAAAATGCCCACTGGCACCACAGAGAGTTGGGGAGAGGAGGCACAACACCCTGCCAAAGCCCATGTCCCAGCCTTTCCAAGGCTCAGCTGTGGGAGCAGCTTCACCCCCCTGCTGAAAAACAACAGCTAACCAAATCCATGCTGTCCCCAGTACCCATTCACAGGTGCTGCTCCCTGCCTCAGTTTCCCCAGCTGTCAAAATCATCCTACACCAAGGCCTGGAAAGAGCTATTTTACATCTGAAGCTACTCCAGCTGTGACCAGGATGGTGTGGGCAGCCCCAGAGGAGCCTCTGGCAGGCAGAATGGAGGGCAGCAGGCAGAAAGGGGTGCCCCTGCCTGCCCCCTCGCTCACCTCTCCTGTCTGGGTCCTCCGTGGGGAACAGGGAGCTGCACAAACCCGGGGCCAAGGAGCATCTCCACCAGACACCCAATGCGTCCTGAAACCCTCTGGCTTGTCTAAAGGAGCTGGACCCACTGCCACGAGGGGGTCTCGTGTGTCCCCTGTCCCCAGGCTGTCAGCACAGCAAACATCCACCTACATCCCCGCGGTTCTGGCAGGGCGACATTGCCATCTGCTGCCTGCTGCTCGGCAGGACACGCCAGCCTGCCTCTGCCACCACGCATGGCCCTCCTCCAGCCATCCCTGGGGGGATGGACGACTGTCCCTGCGGGGACCCTCCAGCACCGAGTGCCACAGGCGCTGGGGCAGCAACCAGGCCACCACCTCCACACTGAGCTCACAGCTCCAGCCCAGCAGCAAGGAGCACAAGGCAGCTGTGCTTCATCCCACCACACACCTCTGGGTCTATCCTGCTCCAGGGTGTGAGGTTGGTATGCTCATTTGTGGCTAATGAACATGCAGCCACCCAGCAGCACAGGGATGGCAGAGCAGAGTCCCAAACCAGGGTCATGTTCCCTGCTTTCATAGCCACAGAACTATAGTTCTATGATTATGGAACATAGTTTGGGTTGAAAGGGATATTTTAAACGTCATCTAGTCCAACGCCCCTGCAATAAGCAGGGACCTCTTCAACGAGATCAGGTTGCTCAGAGCCCTGTGCAACCTGACCTTGAACATTCCCAGAGATGGGGCAGCCACCACCTTCCTGGGCAACCTGTGTCAGTGTTTTCCCCCCCTCACAAGCACCAGTTTTAACTGTTCTGAGCTGCTGTGTGACAAGCCCTGGCACTGAGTGCTGCCCTCAGCCCTGCTGGTGACTCACCCACCAAATGGGAACACACACCTCCGGCTCTTGTGCTTCGGGTTCTTCATCTGGAAACATAAAGATGGTATTTTTTAGCTCACAGCCACACCAAGAGATGTTCACTTATTTTAAACTTGAAAGTACCTACATACTGTTTCTACTGCTCAAGATAGGAGATGCCATCAAAGGGAGGAGAAAAGTAGTAATTATCTGTAGTTCAAAAGTTTAGCCTTCAGAGAAGGAATTGGGTTTCCAGCTATACTAGTCAAATGCTTTTAAGCTGATCTTTTCCAAGAGGCTGTGTAGTTTATAATTGAGATTACCCACCTGAGACAGGTTTCCACATCTGGCTTGGATTTATAGGACAGACCACCTGGACAAACACTGATGGCTGGACAGGTCACTTGGCTGCACACCTTGGTACTGGTGTGCATGTGGCCACGATGGACAGGCTGAATGAGTGAAATCAGGCCTGCCTGAGAGAAAAATCACCTTTTCCTCCCCCCATCAGGTCTGGCACTGAGATTTGCTGTGCCGTTCCTAAATATTGAGGTATTATTTCCTACATTTTCCACCCATGTGGCCTCAGACTTGCAGCCTGCCCAGTCACTCCCCCAGATCCCAGTCTCCCCAGTTACTGGGAATGTGCCACAATTCCATTGTAGCTGTGGCACAGACCCCCAGGAGCTGGTCTCAGACATCCCCTAAAAGCAGCACATCCGTGCCAGCAGTGCTCAGGAAAGCTGTCTCAGCTGCCTTGTCCTGACAGCCCATGGGACTGGGGGTCTCCCAAGACAGCCCCAGGGAAACCCTGGATGTCTCCTCCTCTGAGCCTGTAATTTGGGCTTCTACCTGCCTTTGTACCTTTGACAGCTCCTGCAATGAGCCTGGGAGCAACTTAGACAGGGTATTATTTGGATTTCCTCCCACTGTTACTTCTCTGTGGGCAGGCAACATGGTGTTTACCCCATAACCTAATTCTGGTTACCACGGAAAATACCAGGCAGATTTCAGAGCAGTCCAGGGACCGCAAGGAAAAAAGGAAGGACTTTACAAAGAAAAATAATTTTAAAAAGCACTTACCCGCACGCTATAGATTTTGTGACATCTTTTTCTTCTTAAATCTTTTTCTCACCCAGGTCTTATGACTTTGTGCTTTCTTATTATATACAGCACCTCTCAAGGCTTTTCCTTGGCTGCGTGTTCAGCCCAGAGCTCTGCTGCAGGGAGAACCAACCCAGGAAAACGTGTTACTCACAGACCCAAGCAGGGAGGACAGTTTATTTTACCCTGTTTCAAAAGACTGAAGGGGAGAACAATATTAATAAAAATTACCTTTTTTCTTCTGCAGCATTTCTTTTTTGTCCGTGAAGGAGGTGGGCATGGGGAGGGACCTCCCCCCCATGCCCCCAGTACCCCCAAAACATGCAGCACAGCTGGAGAGGGATCAGCAATGCCGGGGTCACCAAGGGAGCACACTAACCCAGCACTACTTTTGGGAACTCGTGTTGGAGAGAGGGCTCCAGCCCTTCTCCCTGCTCTCTTTATAGCTTGTCAAGGGCCTCAGCTGGTCCCCATGATGATGCTCCTCTCACCATAACAAGATGAACCTGTGTCTGTCTCCTGCAGGTCTCTTCCCATGGCTTTCTCTTGCCCTCTGGTTTTTAAAGCGTGCCCATTTTATACTCAGTGACAGGCTTCAAGTCGTAGAATCATAGAGCCATAGAATTGTTAAGGTTGTAAAAGCCCTTTAAAATCATCCAGTCCAACCATTAACCCAGCACCCACCACTAAACCATGTCCCCAGGGGCCACAGCTACACATATTTTAAATCCCTCCAGGGTGATTCTGTCACTTCCCTGGGCAGCCTGTTCCAGTGCTTGACAACCCTTGGGTTTTTCCTAAAATCCAACTCAAACGTCCCCTGCCCTATTATTTCCCCACCCCAAGCTAAACCCCTCCACTTTGTAGAGATGCTGCCAAGACCCAGCGAACACTTTTTGCCGGTGTGCTGGGGTTGGGTCCAGTGCAACAGGAGGTTACATGGGAATAAAACCATTTGGAGGAGGATTTCAGGCTACTGTGAACAGGGATCCTTCATTTACATCACATCCAGGCAATAAATAATGGTTTCAGCCCCTTGGAGAGCAACAGTCCCCCCGCTGAAGCAGCGGCTCACGGGCGCTCACGGACGCTGTCACTCAGCAGTGACCTCCTGGCCCAGTTGGCTCCAACTTCAGAGAGAAATGGATTTGCACGTCTCTGGTTTCCTGTGGCGTCACAACATTGATTCCTTTATTGGATCTAAAGCCGTTTCCAAGGCATGTGCTCTCATCTACTGCATGCAAGTTATCCAAGAGAGGAAAACCAGAGGAAATGAGCACCTGGGGAGGAGGCAGTGGGATGGTGACAGCTTTGTCAGGCATTCACCTGGTCACTGGTGCTGTGCTCTGGGCCATTTTAAGATGCTCCAAGTGCGGCCCAGGGGTAATTACCCCTTCTCACATGCTCTCCCAGTCCCTGGCATTAGGATCATACTCCCATCTTTTCAGGTGTAAAGTCCTGGTCAGCAATGCTGAAGGCTAAAGGCTGCTCTGTAGTGTTTTTGCCGAATTATTACCTGTTGCCAGGGGTTTGGGGGATTTAATTTCTGCTAATCCCAAATAAAACAACTGTAGGGCGAGAGTCCTCAGTGCCGAGATTGCCCATGAAGTGAGTCAGCTCAAAATAAGGGGAAAGGTTCGATCCTGATGCCGGAGAGGAGACAGAAATCCCCCCTGTGAGGAAAGGAAAGCTAAGCAGCATGTGCGAGACAGGCAGTAAGGGAAGCAGGGAGGAAATATCCCTGCAGGAAAGCTCACACAGTGGAGAGAGACAGAAACACACGTGCTGGACTAGTGAGGAGGGAGAAACTGCTTTCACAGTGGCCAAGGACTGACCGACCAAGGACTGACCAGACAGTGACAAACACATCTTGAATGGGAATAAAACCAAGGATTTATCACAAGGTACCGGAGATGAAAGTCACAGCATGAAGTCCTGTGAGGAAAGTGGAGGAAAAGTACTTGAGAGCTCTGCTGGGGCTCTCTCCAGCAGAAGTGGAAATAGTATCTAAAAGCCAGGAGCAGGCAAAGGCCTCCTGGTAGGTGTGGTGGGAGGCACAACTCAAGCAGACAGCTGGTGCTCTCCATCACCAGCAGGGAGGAGGGTGGGAAAGGGCTCAGGCAGGTAGAGCAGCCCTCTTGTACTTCCCAGGCTGCTCTCTTTGATGCAGGCACCAAAGTTGGGATGAGGAAAGAGGTCCCAGCTTCAAAGGCTCTGCAGCTGCTCTGCTGGACACAAAAAGGTGACCCGGACACCCACACACTTGCACGGGATGCTCTGCTCTCCTACACAGGAGCCTGGGGGCTGCTCCTGCCAGGCTGGCTACCCACCCGTGCTCACCCATCAGGGTGAGGGGGGATACTAGTAAATCCAGAGAGGAATTGAGCATCCAAAGAGGTATTTGCTGCACCTCTTGTTGGGGAGAGGAATGGGGCTTCTCCACTTCTCCGCTGGGGTTTGCAATCAGATTTGCCTTCCTGAGAAGCAACTGCTCAGATGCCCTCCTTCTCCAGCATGGGGAGCAGGCACACACTGCTCTTCAGACTCCTCACACATCCTGAGTTCCCTGGGCAATGTTACACATTCGCACAGGAGCGGGGCAGAGCCTGCTGACCTGCTTGCAAAACTGCAAAGAGCACCGGTGAAAATAAAACTGTCGTAGGCCAGCTCTCAGCACTGCATGTCCCAGAGACAGCAAACCCACTGGGTGCTGGCTGCACCTGGCTCGAGGTCAGGGTCTGATTTTAACTCTCTTTAAGTGGTAGAAATGTGCCTGCACTGCTGTGTCTGTGCCCAGGGGCAGGAAGCAGCTTGGCCTGCCCACATGCTCTGCCAACAGCTCGCAGGGCATCTGCTCTGCTGAGCCAGCCTAGTGGGATGCCAGGCGGCTTTCCCACCTTTCCCATCACAGCTCCAAGGTGTTGTTCTTAGATTCTCACCCTCTTGCTATTTTTATTTCTCTAGAAATGCTCTGTGTGGCCAGGTGACCTTTATTAAGATTGTATTTTTTTATACTGCATGACTCTGCGTCTCTGCTGGGCCCTCCAGGAATGGAAGCAGCAGCTCCTGCTTGCCTGGTATTGGAACATTTGAGCTCCTCAGCCATCAAGAGAAACAGCCGCTGGATCTGAAACCTGGCAAAGCCCCAGGGCCTCTGTAATTAATAACTTCTGCATTTTGTTTCCTGGTAGTTCTGTATTTTAAAAAGCAGGAAAATAGTTAACAGAGTGCAGAAAATAAAAATCCATGCTTTCAAATAAGCACTGTAGCCATTAGAGGGATCAAGAGCATCATATCTAAGCATAAATCAATGTGACCAAAGACAAAACCAGCTACATTAAGAAACAGCTGCCCAGTTGCTCTGCTCCTCATGCCTGTCATCCCCTCCTGCTCTAAAATCCGGGTTCCCTACAGCAATGGCCCTGGGAGTGGAGGAGCTTTAGAGGCATCCCTGCCTGATGCAAGTGAGGAGAATGGTAAGCCTGAAGCACCCCAAATGCACACAAACAAAAGCCCAAACGCTCCTGTGCTGCCAGTGAGACAAGCACTGCAAAACACACAACCTTTTCACACAGAGCATGCTGGATACAGTAATTATAGGCAAAATAATTGCACCCCTTGCTTTCCCCTCGGTAGAGCCCCTTTCCAAAGCAGAAGTGCAGAGTATTTCTACAGCAATAACCTGCTTTCTGAGCCCAAGAGCAGTTGGTAAAAATGGCGTCTCTCAGGTATCTGATAGTTGAGGCAATTAAAAGAGAATTAAACTGACATTTCTAACTTGCAGTGCAAGAGGGATGTGCAGTGGTGAAATAATTAAGAGCTACTGCTGGGAACATACTGTTTTCACCTGTCTGCTGCGAAGAACAAAAGGTCAAGAAGCATTTTTGGCTTTTTATTTTTGTCTTCCTTTTTCGGTAATTAGTGTCTAGTTACTGCTGCATCCCCAAATGCCAGAGCCCAAGGGTTTTCCAAATGACGAGAGAGGTATTTAGTGGTCGGTACCTGGTTTATCCAGCCTCACTTGGTGACAAGCCCCATTTTGCAAGTCAGATTTCCCTGCTCAAGTGACGCATGTGAAGGGCTCAGAGCTTCATTTTCTGGTTTATGAAATTGGTTTGAAACGTCTTTCCAGCACCTGCCTGGGAGCAGCTCCACAGTGGATCTGCAGTCCCATCCCATGCTGTCCTCCTGTCCAGCATCATTTGCTTCCCCACCAGTCACACTGGTGCAGCAGCTGCATCTGAGCCTATTGGGAAGGGAAGGTGATTCTCTGGATAGCAACCCACCTTGGAGCATCCTTGTGCAGGCAGGGCTCGACACTGCGGGGACTCCCAGCTGTTTTTCACAACTCCATGAACACAGAAAGATTCACCCCCCCCCACCTGAGTGTCCCATGGGAGCAGAGGTGGGTCTGAAAGATGAGGGGACACAGCAGATGTACCTCTTCAGTGCAGCAAGGGCCCCAGTGTGTGTGAGAAAACAGAAATCACTTTCCACCTTTCCCATTAGCTAAAAGAAAAAAGTGATATTTATTTACTGGATGCCAATCCGATCAGGATCCAAGTCTCAGCATGTTTTTCACATGAAATTCATGCCTGTAGACACAACCCCAAGTCATCCTTGCCCTCACCATCATCTCCACCAGCCATGTTTGGCTTATGCTTCAGCCCATCACCCCAGGGTACCCCTGCCTCTGGCCCTTCCTTCCACCTCTCCTGCTCTGCCAACCCAACTCCAGGTTCATTTGCAGGAGACAGCTACAGTTTAGGAATGTTTCTGATGTTTTCCCAAGTCAGAGTATCCCAGGATTTTAGTCTCTCTCATGCAGAGTGAACCTGAGCACACCCTGGGCTTGTGTTTACCACTGACCTTCCAGAAGGGAGAACAGGGCTCTGTGTGGTTTTAGGACAAGCACCCCTTCCCTCTCAAGGTGAGCAGGTGAGGGATGAAACCCAGAGTAGTGTGCTTCTCCAGAGTCGGTATCATTCTGCCTCAGCCTGTCCCATCTCTTGCCCTGTCCAATCTCCTGCATGCAAGCTCTTCCAGGAAGGATTTGAGGACCAATCTGGAAGAATACTGAAGGTACATGCCTGGCTGACTCCATCCTTTCCTCTGCCAGGGGTGGCAGTCACGTTTTATAGGTCACTGTATCTTGCAAAGGAGTTAATGGAAGTTTCTTTGAAGAAGTTCAACACACTTGTCCCAGAAGCCATCACATTTTAATTACTCCTTTCACACATCCAAGCACTTTATATGCGAGTCAACCTTCCAGGCAAGTGTCTTTTTAATAACCTTTTAGTTAAGCCAAGTGGTTCTCATTTCACCATCCATTTCCTCTCCCCATAT